AAAATATTTTCACTGCAGCTATTTAAATGTAGAACACAACCTTCTTCCATAGACGCAAATACAAAGTTAAGCGTATTGCATCCCATTCCTCGAGAATTCTATCTGTGTGTAAATTATTTTTGTCCATTGCATGCGAAGTCTGCATTGTTTTCGTACATTATCTATTTCATAAATACTATTTTAGTTTTGCGTCGATATATGCAAATGAAATCATCGGTTTTTCCATGTTCCTTGTGTCCGTAAGTTTTTACTGCTGATCAAATGCAAACATTACACGCGAACTATTTGTCAAGTAACAGTTGTCTGTCGGTATATGCTCTACTACGCGTGCACACACACGCCTAGTTATCGAATACAGTAGAGCGTCGTTTATCTGAATCAATTGGGGACTGGGGTTGTTCGGATAACTTATATTTCGGATAACCAATTATGTACGAAAAAGTATATTAATTTATCCCGTGTTGAAATTTCTCTTCGTTGCGTGTCGCTTTGCGTTGAATTTTCGTCGATGTTAAGCCTAACGAAGACTATTGTATCGTTAAAAATTATTTTTTTATTTTGTACAAACAAAATAAATATATTGAAAAATATAAAAACAATAAAAACTTATACTTCAGAAGTTAATTTAGTATCAAAAACGTAAAATATTTCAGTAGCCGAAGACATAGCCAAAGATTACAGCGCCACAGCACTGACGAAAATTTAAATTTGTCGACTGGAATTCTTTCGGATAACCGATGTTTCGGATAACCGACCTTCGGATAAACGGCGCTCTACTGTATTTGAATAATAGTTCCTTACGCAACGAAAATGAATATATGTCTATTTTCGTATGGTTGAAAAATCGACTGTCAATGGGCAACGGCAAACACTCGAGTATATTCGGCTAATTTCGATCATTTATCACAAACTATCCATCCACGCTACTCTCTGTTGGCTCAAAATAACGATCATTCGTCGTCCGGTATTCTGTAAACACAGCATATTTATTGCTGAGTTACCATTGGAAACATTGCACAATGTTGCGCACGCGCACCGATTCCAAGCATAAATGGCGAGGGTGGAGAAAGCAATGAAAAACTACTGTTGCCTAAACACCTTACAAATCACAACCAAGTGCTTTTAGAGATGATGCTGAAAGATGGATCCCTTGGGCTGGACGATGGAAAAATATGGACGAGGTTTGTTTTTTTCCTAACTCTTTCTGCCCTGTGGATACTAAGAGTGCCTCTGTTAGCTAGTCCAGGCTAACAATGGAGCGACCGAGTGGTGAGGAACGGGGTCCGACATATCCAGACAGACCACGTTCTAAAAAATTCCTGGGGATTCTTGGATCCGTCGGGATTTAATCCCGAGTCTCCTAGAGCAGCACGCTGCCAAGTTGACTGCTCGGCTATCTAGCAGTCATATGGACGAGGTTTAAACAGCTATGAAATCTTTAAAGCAGACTGGATAAATCCAGCCAGCTGATGAAATTTTTAAAAAAACCGTCTACGTTTCACAAAAGATTACAGCATAAAAATCTAATGCATCGTTTGGGAACGTTTAAAAATCGATATTCTTACCGTTAGAGAACTTCACTAGACAAGCAGCGGTTGTTTCAATAGTGACAATTATACGATTTACTATTAAGGAAATGACAATATCATACACAGTGGAGTTGCCTTACTTTCGATCAAAAAACTTCTATGGTTGTTCATTGTTTCAATGCCATCAGTGAATGAATCATACCTATCCGCATCCGTTAAATGCCTCCTTTACCCACGATTCTGCAAGTTTATGCACCAACCACCGGTTTAAAAGTAGAAGACATTAAAAAGTTTAATGCAGATCTCTAGCAAGCTCCGTCCAAAGATCTTTATCGCCGTGTATATCAATGTAAAATTACGCACTGAAGAAGAATCAAGTCACAGGCAAATACAGTCTAGAGAACGAAACAATGCTGGAGACTCCTAGATACAATGCTGTCAAGAAAATAAATCAGTGATGGCAAACACGTGGTTTAAAACAACCAAAACGCCGCATATATACTTAGACAGTCTCGAATGAACTGTATCACAATCAGATCTACTTTTTTTCCTCTGCCAACAACGTTGGAGCAGCTCAGTACAAGCAGTCAAAACACTGCCCAGTGATGATTGTGGTCTGACCATCAGTTACTCGTTGCAAACGTCAAACTCCGTTTCAACACCATTAAAAGACTACCGAAAACATCCAGTTTTCACACCAGCAACATCCATTTAGAGTATGAAGTTGAAATAAAAAATAGATTCGAGTTACTCAGCATAACTGAAAACGCTACTGATTAACTGTACGAAGTAATGAAATTGATCATAATGGATACAGCAAATCACTGCATCTTTTACAAAAAAGCAGCAAAAAAGTTGTAATGGCTCTCAGATAAAATGATTGGAATTGCGAAGAAGAGGCCAGCAGCCAAAGCCACTGGCAAGAACACTGAGTTCAAATTGCTGAATGCAGAATTTCGGAGAGAAGCAAGATGAGAGAAGGAATGTTATTGGAATGAGCAGTGTGCAAAATTGCCGGATGCCGATAAGAAAGATTACACTTGAGAACACTTTTCTGGGTGAAACAGGCACTGGCTATCCGTAAAGCCACAAATAACACAAAAGCAAAGCATTGAGGAGCGAAGATGAAATTAAACGAAAATGGCAAAAGTGCACGACAGAACTCTACGCAGGAAATCAAAATGAAAAAACTTGAAGTATCTAATCCGAAGAGTCAAAGGAAAGTTGAGTGCATGGATCCTAAAGAAAGGTAATTACAACAACATACAATGGTACAAATCACAAAAATCAATAACGAACAAATTGAATAAGTCTAAGATTTCATATTTCTGAGGGCCAAGATTCATTACCGCGATGAATCTGGGCCAGAAATCAAACAAAGAATCACATTTGGCTGCAGTGCAATGCAAGGAATGACAAAAATCTTGAAAAACAAAATATTTGTACTGCAGAATAATCAACGCAGTTGTCTTCCCAGTCTTCGCTTATTCGTGTGAAAGAAGGAGAATCAAGAGAGGAAACAGAAGGAGAATTGATACATTTGAGCTTTGGTGTTTCAGACAAATGTTTTGTATATCTTGGACGGACAAGGTTACAAATAATGCGATTCTAGATTATGTAAAACCAAAAATATCGTTAGAAGGCACAAAACAAAATAGCGACTGTCATACTATGGTCATGTCATGCGAACTAACTCCCTGCAGACAACATTAATGCTTGGCGTGGTCAGTGGGACGAGAAGAAGAGGACGCCAAAGAACACTCTGGCTAGCAACAGTCATGGCTAACAACAACATGAACATGGAAGCACTGAAAGAAACGGCCAAGATAGAAAAGCATAGAGAGTGCTGATCCGTAGAATGACCAAAAGTTGGCTTCGATTGAACGATCATCATCATTATATTCGTTATTTTATATTTTCATATATTTATTTTATTGCATTTAGTTTTTCCACTGTCATGCACGTTATTATCTCTTATGTTAATTGCGGCTGCTACTTTGCATTTAATGTAAATATTTCTAATTGGAGCAGATCTTTTTTGTCTTTTTCGACATTAACTGTATTAATAACAAATAAATAAACACTTCGAAAGATGGAAAGGCACAAAGTAAACTTTTTTAATATATTATCATGGTGACATTCCTTCATCCACAACCTCTTGTAATTACAGTCGGTGTAATGTGCGCTTTATTCACACGTTGAATCGTAGTGTCAATTTGCTTCCAGTAATCTTATGCGACAGCTTTCGAAACTTTCCTTTATTTAGATGTTTTCGCTGAGCTTCTCTTTTCAACCTGGTTCTACCAGTTTTTTTTTTAAATATAAAGCTTATAATTATTCCCAGAAAAGCAAATTCGCATAGTAAATATGGGCGTGCTTGTTTTTTTTTCATAAATGCTCAAAATGCTCTATTTTGCATATACACAAAACAAAAAGAAAGTCTCCATTTCTGGAAATTTTGTATCAAACGAACAATCCGTTTGTCAGATAAACAATATGGACTTGCTGTATGCATTTAAACGTCATTTTAACGATTGTAAATATAGCAGTGTGAAAATCCAAAGTTAATATTTTAATTTATTAAGTTACGAAAAAAGTTTTGTTACAATTATTTGATAAATTTTTACTTGTTTTGTAACAATTGTACGAAGTCGAAAAAGGAACTTCCTGTTTAGTTGGAGAAAGATAACACAATCCCTTCTAAAACGATAGTTTAGTGTGGGATCTCTCACATCTATCCGCAAAACTACCCAACTTCCTTCATTCCTAAAGCACAGCTAGTTAGCTGAAATCTGCTTAGCTCAGCTCACAGCTCTTCATCGAAGTTTTTTTCTTCACTGTCGTCGATCTTTCACGAGGCAAGTTTCGACTCTATGTATGTTCCCTGTACTTTCTCCTCAGTCACCAGTTCAATTCTAACTTCTACAGAAGATCAAATATCATCGAAGATTTTGTATTTTCGTAAACTCACTCTCTCTCTCTCTAAAATGTAGAGGTTACTTAGCGGGTTGTCAGTTCGAGTTCCCTTTTAAAGAAAGGTATATTATAGTTAGATATTTGTTGCTATTCTGATATGTGTTATATTATTTCGATTTCATCTTTTATTGTAATTGTACATAAGGATTTGACTAATTCTACTAAATAAATATAATTTAATAATTTGATTAATTTGTGCCTAACTCCATCGTCTTATCCACGGTAGAAATAATCCCGTCTACAAATTCATTACAGCACCGAAAATGTATGTTATAATTTGTTGGTAAATATATTTGTTGATTAATTAAGATTAGCAATTAATGTAAAATCAATAAGACGAATTTAGCATGATATAAGATGGATAGGCAGCATTTTGTTTTTGAACAGAATACATTGAAAATAATCACCGAACAACGTCCATATTTTATATTATTGTTTGTGACCATCTTTCGGAAGTTTTACTGTATATAACTAATTAATAATTTAACAAAAAAGTGTAATTTTAAATATATCATATGCATATTTTAATAAAAATATTGTATTTTTATAAACAAACATGTCGTAACTGCTTCTTTACTACTATTAAGAATGTTCTTCCAGCATTGAAGTGACTTTTTGGAATCCTTTTTTCATAGACTTTATTAGATCTTGAATTTTCTCTTCAGCATTTTTATCACTAAGTGCATCTAAATTTAAAATTTTTAAAAATTTTAAATATTTTATCTCTAAAATATGTTTACTAAGAAAAAAATATCATACTTGCATATCCTATAGGAGCATTTTTATACCATCTTGGGTTATAGTCACCATAATTGGATGCATAAAACACTGGATTATTTCTTTCACTTCTTATACTCATACTTCTCCAATAATTTGCATCTAAATTGTAATATTATAATCAATTCATCTTAAAATCTAGATTATTTAATATAAAGATTGAGATTTTAAATATTACTGTTAAAATTCTGACTTGTATGCTAATTATAAAAAGATATAAAATGGCAGGTATTTTATTATCTCGATTTCCTTAAGTAAAATTTTTAATTTACACTTATAATTTCGAAATTAATAAAAATTTAAGATAATCACTAATAATTTTCTGAGGGGTCTACTACAATGGGGATATTAACACTAAACACTGGCTTAGTTCGCAGTCTATCATTTAGTAAATGGGGCCAGTTTTCTATAGAAATTCACTCCAGGAGGCATCGTCTTAGAGTTGCAATCCTTCTCCCATTACATATATAATATTGAAGACAAAAAAACAGATTTACCTGGATAATGATCCATGTTTGGCATACGATTAATATCACCTTTTTCTACAAAAATTCGGCCGTTTGGTGCTCTTCTTTCTCTGAAATGATTATCTATTCTTCTTCCAGAGAACAGACCGTGTAAATCTGAGTTTGCTGATCCATTACTACTGTTTAAAATCGCGAAAAATACCGAAATAAATCCGAAACTAAAGCTAAATTTCTGCATTGTTTCAATGTGAAGTTGCTGGTTCCTTTAATCTCTATGAATATACGATCTCTTATAAATATTCTACCTGCACGAGACAGTCACATATATGTGTTACTTGACACGATTTATTATTGGTTTACCTCGTATTAGGTTAAACAAAAAACGCATTAATGTGAATATCTTATAAGTTATATTAAAAAGTCTTGCTCGAAATGCATTGAAATTCAACGAATTTTGATGTCGGGTGACAATAAATAACCTAAAAATATTAATTTAAAATAAAAGACGTGCTATAAGTAGCTTTTACTTTAATTACATTTTACAGAAATGATTTGATTACCTAGAAGTTATTTCTGTTTAATTAAAAATAAAATACGCAGAAGAAAGTCATGTAAATTAAAATAAATAAATTTTTGCAAATAAATAAATTTTTAAACGTAAAAACTGGAAATTTAGTCTTTTCCAATGCAAAAATCTGCATTTAGTTTATACCAATAATTAATTACAACATTAAAACACAAACGTTTATAAAACAGAAACCCGTCTACGGAAAGATTTGTTACATAATAAAGCAACCTGTGTAGTGCGGAAACAGAAGACTTTTGAAAGTGTATGAACTCAGAATTGTGCTATTTTCCAGAAAAGATAATTTTTGATCATTTCTTGTACATAAAGATCGGTTTATTTGTTTTTGTAAGTAAATTTGAGAGTAGGTGAAAACTATATATAGACTATTATTAAATTTTGCAGTGTATACGCTGCTGGGTAATAGTCCGAAAACTATGACAAATGAAGTAAGATATAGGCCTATGTACAAATAAATTTTTCACTATAAAAAAAGCTTAAAATTTATTTTTATATTTCATAGCGTATTAAGAGTAAAATGCAGTTATTACAACAACGCAACGCAAAGGTAAATAACGGGTCCCGGGATGACTCTTACACGTGTTAAACCAGTGTTTCTCAACCTCTAACGAATCGTCGTCCCCTTCAATATTCGGTGCATCCTTAGTGATTAATGTAAAATCCATAAGGCTAATTTAGCATGATTTAAGATGGCCAATTATACATTTCATTTTTTAGAAGGATAGGCAGCATTTTGTTTTTGAACAGAATACATTGAAAATAATCACCGAACGACGTCCACGTTTTATATTATTGTATCTGACCGTCTTACGGTTAGTGACTGTATATAACTAATTAAACAATTTAACAAAAAAGTGTAGTTTTAAATATATCGTGTGCATATTTTAATAAACAAACTGTCGTAACTGCTTCTTTACTATTATTAAGAATACTTTTTTAGCACTGAAGTGACATCTTGGAGTTCTTTTTTCATGGATCTTATTAGCTGTCGAATTTTCTCTTCAGCTTCCTTCACCATTACGTGCATCTAAATTTTAAATGTTTAAAAATTGTAAATACCTTATCTCTAAGATATGTTTACTAAGAAAAAAATATCATACTTGCATATCCTATAGGAGCATTTTTATACCATCTTGGGTTATAGTCACCACTGACCATCAGTTACTCGTTGCAAACGTCAAACTCCGTTTCAACACCATTAAAAGACTACCGAAAACATCCAGTTTTCACACCAGCAACATCCATTTANTTCAAACATTCCAAACGTGTCTATTTTTAGAATATTCTTTAAGTTCGTGAATACATCCATAGGTAGTATTAGCTAATAGGCATGAATATTACAGATAATTGGTATTTAAGTTATGCGCATACATCTGTTTCCTCCAATAATTTATTATAATCGTTAATGAATTTTAATATAGAAATTGATTGAGACACTAATTGAAAGATAATATATTAATGTTTGTAATTATGTAATATACATAATTCATATCAGAGCGTGTTCTCATTTAAACTGATCTCTTTTATCGAATCTTTACACGCATTACAAAATCAAAATAATATAATCAGAAAATATACGAAAATTTAAACGAAAAAAATAATAAAATTGAAATAAAAAGTGTTTTTACTTCTTAATGGGAAGGATCAGGTAGATTAAAACACGACTGGTAGCATTTTTATGAAGTTCATAATATGCTGACAAATAAATACAGTATAGTGTAAGCGGGTAGGTAGGTCACATGTTACGAAATCAATCCGCTAAAATGAACGACTCTTCACAACATTAGATTCAAATTCCACCTAAAAATTCTTTGGGGTTAATGTCAAATTGCACGTCTATGTGTCGTGCTAATATTATCATTATATTGTATCAATAATAAGATTACTTTCCAAACATTTAGAAATTTACAATTGCTAATGCAAGTTTTGTAAATATGTATAATTAGGTACTGCATTTTTCAAATAGCATATTAATGCATGAAAAAATACAATTTTTATGCTTAATTCAATTTTTTTTAAATTGCAATTGTCTAAGTGATAGAATTCGATGCCTATTTGTACGTGTTGAATGTCGTACGATTGTCACGTTAGTCACACATGTTTGTTTTTCACTTGTCATTATAACAATCATCGTAAATATTTCGATGTTACAAAAAATATAACAAATTGTGATCAAACTTTGAGTTGTTTATCCCTCCATGTATCATACATATTCCTATAAATATTTACAGTATGCAAAATATTTTCACTGCAGCTATTTAAATGTAGAACACAACCTTCTTCCTTAGACGCAAATACAAAGTTAAGCGTATTGCATCCCATTCCTCGAGAATTCTATCTGTGTGTAAATTATTTTTGTCCATTGCATGCGAAGTCTGCATTGTTTTCGTACATTATCTATTTCATAAATACTATTTTAGTTTTGCGTCGATATATGCAAATGAAATCATCGGTTTTTCCATGTTCCTTGTGTCCGTAAGTTTTTACTGCTGATCAAATGCAAACATTACACGCGAACTATTTGTCAAGTAACAGTTGTCTGTCGGTATATGCTCTACTACGCGTGCACACACACGCCTAGTTATCGAATACAGTAGAGCGTCGTTTATCTGAATCAATTGGGGACTGGGGTTGTTCGGATAACTTACTTTTCGGATAACCGATTACTGTTGTTGTTTTCA